GCACACACACATGCACACACACAATGGACACACATACATGCACACACGCATGCACACACACAATGGACACACATGCACACACAATGCACAAACATACATATACACATACAGTCACACACACAGTGCACAAATATACATGTACACACACATGCACACACACAATGCACAAACACACATGCACGCACATACATGTGTGCATGCAGGCATGCAAAAAATATAAACAAACAGCAACAAATCTGGGTTTGAAACATGGAGATACACATCCAAATAGCCAATACAGTAGAGGAGAATTCCAACCGCATCAGACCAACCTGGATGAGTGAATTTATGTGACAAGACATGGCCAAGCTTTGGAACAGAGTTCACGAGCATGACCAACATTTATATGTGGTACTGGAGGATGGAGAAAGCATGGACAACTGGGGGAGAGACAGGCACGGAGATGATCTGAACATCCCAGTGCTCTTGCTCTGGGGAGATGGGGTTTCTCTGCTCCCCTTCCACACAGAGAGCTGACCGAGACAAAACTGATCATGTATAGAAAACAAGCTACAATGGCCTCCCTAAATGTACAAGATGGGCTGGAGAGATGTCTCAGTGACAAATGTCGCTCTTCCAGAGGACCTGTGTTCTGTTCTCAGCATCCAAATGGAAGCTCACAACCATCCTTAGCACAGTTCCAGGGGGTCTGACACCCTCTCTAATCCCCATGTGCTCAGCAGCACTCTGGCCTTCCCCAGCAATGTCAAAAAGGACTCAGAAGCATAGCCAAGCTCCCAGGAGTCCCCAGTCCTTCATCTACCCAAAATTGGTTTTCTTGTAGAAGGTCCTCCTTTTTCCTGCTCCCTCATCCCCTGGCCTGTCTGATGTTCACTTCTTTCGCAGACTCTTGATTTACTCATTGCCTTCCCGGTGGAGTGATGGGGAGATTTATCCAGAATGTTGAATCCGTGTCAAACCTGCTCCTAACACAGGAGCATTTTCTCACTTGTGCCCAGGGTTTGCAAGCCACTCTGAGCGCTGTGCTCCTCTCTTCACAGGAAGGAGCTGGTGCCTAGGGGCGGCTTGGGCTGGACTGAGACAGGGAGGGCAGGTCCCTAACCATCAGACTTCTCTACCCACTTTCCTCCTCTGTGTTCAGACACAGTGCCAGTGCCCACCAAGCAGCTTAGGGCAGGGCCACACCTCTCAGCCATGACTGAGTCCTCACCCTGGGTCCCCTGGAAATCTCCTTCCCTGACCTGCAGGACACTCCACAGTGCTCTTGGCTCAGAGTCTGGGCTACAAAAGCTGCCCTGGTCCTAGAAATGCTGAGTTGTAGAAAACATGGAGTGCTGTCTGTCTTTCATTCTTGGCACTGCTTGATCACATGAGTGTCCCCAGGAATTGCCACTCTATCTCCGTGAACTTGAACAGGCCCCTCCCCCTCTCAGAACTTCAATGTCTTCATCTATACAATGGGGGTCTCAATGCTACTTTGAATGAGTGTTAAATGAAATAATACCCGGAGACTGGCTCATGAGCACAGGAGCTGTCACTGCTGTTATTGCTGGGGTCACAGGTATTATTGTTCCTCAGTGTTTGGTCAGGCATATTATAAAGGAAAACAGCCAACCCACATCTTCTGTTGACATTGGCTGCCTAAGAAGCACCCTTCCATAAATGCAGGAGCAAGGACCCTGCTCCATGCAGACGCTCATGGCCATGAGAGCAGAGATGGCGGGGAACCTCTTGTAGGAATGTTGTACATTGTCCACTCTACATGTCCACCACCCATTTCTTTTTGGTGTCTTTGGATTTTTGAGAGGGGGGTCTCATTATGTAGTTCAGGATGGCGTTGAACTTAGTATATATAGTCCAGGCTTGTCTCAGACTGCCCTAGAGAACAAACAAAATGATAAATGAGGGCTGGGGATGTGGCTTAGTAACAGACACTACTGGTAAACCAGCAGAGACCCTGAGTAGCATCCTTAGCACTGCTTAAACAAAACATTCTGCATACATACACACCTTGTACACACACACAATGCTGGTGTGTGCACGCATTTGTGTGTGCATGTGTGTATGAGGGCCACAGGACAACCTCTGCGACCACTCAACTATTCATTAAACTGTTTTAAATTATTATTTTATGTATATGGGTACACTCTTGCTCTCTTAAGAAGGCATTGGATCCCATTACAGATGGTTGTGAGCCACCATGTGGTTGCTGGGAATTGAACTCAGGACCTCTGGAAAAGCAATTAGTGCTCTTAACTGCTGAGCCATCTCTCCAGCCCTGCATCCAATTTCTCTTCTTAAACACCAGCTCAGAATCTGTCCTGTACTGAATAGGATGGCATTGGAAATTTAGGGGCTTTATATACTAGACGGAGTGTGTCTCCTAAGGATGCAGGTGCTGGTATTCGGTTCCCCTGCAGCAGTGCTGGGAGGTGATGAGCCTTTAGGAAGTGTGATCTTGGGAGAAGTACTGAGGTCTTGGGGAGCACTGACTTCTTATAGTTCTCAAGAGGCCCTGATTGGGAGGGGGTCATTGTAAGGCCAGTCTGATTTTCCAGATTCTGTGGTATGGCGCTCTTACAGTTACTTCTCCACGGTATAGAGCAGGAAATTGCCAGTATCATGAATATCAAGGTTCCCCTACTGCTCAACACCCATTCTCCCCACTGGCCATCTTCAGGACCCTTAGCAGTTTCTTCTGCAAGCACTGAGAGCCCAGCTGGCTAGTCAGTGGACGATGGCCTGCCTGACTCCCGAGTGCCACCTTGTGGCCTGATGTGTGACTGCAGGTCTAGTGTAGAAATTCTGGCTGGTCAGTTTTGGGGATTTAGAAGCTAGAGAAATAGGGGGAGAAGAAAGATGGTGTCTACAGAGAGCCTGTGCTAAGAACGTTCACTGTGTCAGTTAATGATCAGTTTTTCAAAGGAAAAGGTGGAAGTTCCTGGGATGCTGGCAGGCACACCCAGGGCTGCAAGGCATGGACAATATGTATTCTTCAACTAGGGAATGGGCAAAGGTTTTGTTTCTTCTTCTCAGTTCCATTTGAGAATGTAAACATTTCTTGGTTCTATACGGTAGTTCACAGTGTGCTGACCTAACTTACTGTGCTAGTTTGGAGACAGGGACATGTAAGTTGTCCCTCCTTTCCTGTCTGACCCTGGCACCTCTCAGGATCTCCATTTTTGACCTTCAGACTCCAAGGTCATTGGGGTTTGCTCTACCTACTTCCATGCCTCTGTGGCTCCTGCTTCTGAACCTCAACTTGCTGTTTTGTCTTCCCAGATATCCCTGACCGTCTCTGTCCTGTCCATCCCACTCTGACCACTTGGGAAATGTTCAACCCAAGCATTTCCTCTTCCAGGAAGGTTCCCCTGGGGTCCCCAGCACTGAGGCTATCCCTCCCCACTTTGAGTCACTTATGTCTTTTGAATAACTGCTCATGCTTGGCCCAGGAGACCTGGATTGTGGAAGAAAGAAGCCGAGAATGAGCTCTCAGCCCCTCTTCCCCCAGCTCCATCCAAGTCAAAGCAGTGAGTGGGCTCACGGTCTGCCTGGGGACGCTGAGAAGTCATCTGGCTGCAGGACCCAGGCCTTTGAGGAGGGTGCTTCCCCCTTACTCCCCAGTCCATGTCTTCACCTGGACGGGGTAGGGGGGTCGGGGGAGGCAGGTGACAATGAGGCAGTGGATTAGCTCATCCCCCACCCCCACATTTTTTAGTGACAGGATTTTAGACATTGCTCTAGGCTACAGGGTTGGCAGCCCACTGCTCTTGAAGAATAGAGCATAGACGCCCCCACCCCTCCCTTTGTCGTCCCTCTTCCAGTTCCAGCTTGGAGCCCAGCCACCGAGGCTCTGTTTAGTCCTGCCTCCGGAGCCGTGCAGTTTGGACCATGTGACTTAGGTTCCCTGGAGTCTTGTGAGGCACGCTGAAGGTAGGAGAATTCTCTACCTCCAGGTGTCTGACTTGATCTTGGGGGATCTTGTCCTACGACCAGAAACAGTGGGCCTGGAAGGGGCAGCTGGTTGTCGGTGTGGGGTGGAGTGGGGTGGGATTGGCAAAGCTGAAATGTTGTGGTCCAAGCTGCTTTCTTATCTTGGTTTTGTCTTCCTGTTTGCTTCATCATATTGAGTTATCACCTCCTCCCCTGGGCCTCAGTGTCCTTTCTGAAGCCTGGGATCCTGCCATTCAGGGTACAAATGAAAAGGACTCTCCTAAGTCTCTTGGCAGCCAGTTACCCAGCAGAGGTTGTGGAGGGGCGAGCCCCTAGGGGGCGCTGGTGCTCACTGGCAGAGTGAGAGGTCTCACGGTGGCTCTCAGATGGTCCTGACAGCCACAGGAGTGGCTCTATTTGCTGGGTTTTGTTCCCTGGCTAACCTGCCCATCAGTACCCCAGGGAGGAGACTTCATGCTTGGCTTCTGGATCCTCAGGGGTCCGGCTGTAGTCCCTGTCACCTCATTTGGGGCCATCTCTAGCATGCTCAGCTCACATGCCTCAGATTAAAGGACTGTTCTGTCCCTTTTGTACACCCTAATAGCAATGATCAGGGACCTAGATGTTACCTGAACACCTTGACAGTCTGGACTTCTCTTGCTCTCCACAGGTACCATGCTGGTCAAAGCAAGCTGATCTCCCTGGCCCCCACTCAGTTCACCTAAGCCAATCACGTTTTCTGCTCAGCAGCATCCTTCCACTTTTCTGGTCAGATTCTGCCTCCTCTGAGGTGTATAAGCCTGGACCATCCCCAGACACCCCTCTCCCCCTAGCTCCCTGTCCAGCTAGGTAACTTCAGATCTCAGCTGAATGGCTTCTTCCAGGAAGCTTTCCCTGATTCCCATCCCCATGAGACTAGCTGCTCCCGGACCAAGGCTCCATTATATGTCACCTGAACTATGTCAAGCTTTCTACATCCTCTGAGGTGACCATCCCTTCCTTGTTTCTCAGCCTGGTTGATACTCAGAGAAGCCCCCATAAGCAATGGCTGTCTGAATGAAGGAAGGGGTAGAATTGGACAGAGGGGACTGGAGATGGATGACTCTGTTGGGCTCAAGGCTGAGGATGGCCAGGGCTGAGGCGATGAGGGAAGGAGAGGGGGATGATTATGAGGTGGAGTTGGGCTAGACCCAAACCCTGTGTCCATGACTCGTTGTCCCTGAAGTGACAGACAGCTCCCGCTGAGGCCCAGGCCCCACCCCCAAGGAGAGCCCACACACGAGTGTACAGGTTGTTTATTTACAAATATACCAACATCTTGTGTTTTTTTTTTTTCTCGATGTTTCCATTTTCTGCTTTTGTGGGAAGAGGCAGGAGGTGAGTGGAAGGCGGGGGTGGTGATGTGGAAACGCTAATAAATAATTTAACAATGACAAGTTATTAAATAAAATGTGTGTGGGGATGGCAGGCGGGCAGTCTGTACAAGGTAAACGGAAAGAATACGATGGGTGGCCTGGCCCCAGCCCAGCTGCAACAAACCCCCTCCAAGCGGAACCCCAGGGCAGGGCAGGGCAGGGCAGGGCAGGGCAGGGCAGGGCAGGGCAGGGCAGCAGCCCAGAGACCATTGGCAATTGTCCCTGTCGAGGGCCACATGTTGAAGGGTCCGTCCTGTCTCCCTGCTCCCAGGCCACATGTGAGCCTCCTTGTGTCAGGTGTGAGTGTGTGTGCACGTGCGTGAGTGTGCTGCCCCTTCCGTGCAGCGGTCAGCCCTGGGCTGCAGCGTCCCCCCTGGTCCTAGGGGTGCCCAGGGCTCTGAGTCCATCTTCCCCCACTGAGCAGGGGAGACATCTAGACAGACGGGGAGGTGGTCTCACTTCAAAGGGATGTCCCTAAAGGAGGAGAGGCTGCCCCTCAGCTGGGCCTCCTCATGTAAGGGCAGTTCCTCGATGTCCACCCCCCACTCCACCCCAGGAAGCCTCCATGACAGCAGACTGGCTGTGCCACCTCTTGGTGTGACTCTCACACCTGGTGTGGTGTCTGTGTGTGGCCTCTTCTGAGTCTCTGAGGACAGCAGAGTGAGAGGAAGCCTCATGGAAAGAAAACACAGATAGGGTTCTGGTTGGGACAAAGCTTAAGTTCTTGTCACTCCTGTGTGACACCTGGACAGGCTTCTTCCTCTCTGCCTGAGCCTCAACGTGCCACACCCCCAGCCAGGAGGTGGGACTTGGTTTTTCTCTAAAGCCCCTACCCGTCTCTCAATTTCTACCTCATATTCCCACATCCCTCTGCTCCTTCAGGCTGCAGGCTGACCCCACCCCCACCCCCAGTCCTACAGCGCTGCCTTCTTCCAGGCTCAGTTCCCAAAACCTGAGTTGCTATCTAACAAGGTCTGGCGGGGCTGGATCGAAGGCTGTCTCTTCCCACAGGACAGAAGCCCTAGTCCCTGCGGCAGTCCAAGACTGGCATGTTGTCTCAGTAGGGCAGCAGGCCACAGCCATGGTGAATGAATCCTGAGAATGGCTACCAGGGCATCTCCAGTATGATGGTTTGGGGGTCCCTCTTCTGGCAACTTAGAAGTGTCCTGATAACATCTTCTGGCTGGGGACACCAGAATGGGGACAACAGAGGCCAGGGCTGGACTTGGGGTTTGGAGGCCCCAGAACAGGAAGGGAGGACCCTTGGGACCAGCAGGTGTGGTGAGAACACATTGGTCCCTGCAGGTGGGGCAGGGGCAGGGCTTCGTGAGACAGAGATGGGGACAGATCCACTGTCCTCTCCTCAGCTACAGCCCTGTCACTACGTTGCTGTGCTGAGCACATACCTGCCCCTCTCCTGTCTCAGGTTTCTCAGCAGCCACACAGCCTACTGATATCGAGTCTTCCAACTTAAAAAGTGAATAAGAGTAGGCTGGGTCTCCTGAGAGTTCGTATCTACCCTGGGTCTGCCCCGAGTATGCCCTGTACAATTCAGCCAGGGGTCTGTGCCAGAGGAGGAAAGGGTAAATCCCAGGAAAGCAGCTGGCTCAGGACCACAACTTCAGCATGGAGATTAGTGATGTTCCTTTTATAAAATGAGGGACCCAGGAGGACTGTACTGGCTGCTCTTCCCTGCTGACTCCATATCGTGACATCTGAATGGGGTTAAAGGGTCTGAGGTCTCCCCAGAGACAGAAAATAAACCCACACAGCTTAACTAGCCAGGCACAGGAGCCCAAAGTGGTGACAGAGAGAGTCTCATCCTTACTTGCCCACAGCTAGAGCTCTGCAGACATAAGGATGGGTGGGTGGGTGAGGGGTGGTTAGGACTCTTTGTTAAATGAATGGCAGCATTCTCCTGGGCATCTGGCCTGGGACACAGTGCCTGCCAGAGGCCAGCAGGGGTGCCAAGGGAAGACCCACTACCACTTCAGCCTTGGGCAGGAAGAGTCCAGGAGACTGGGGAGGGGGGCTGGGGTGACACAGGAGGCTGAAATGTGGTGGGCTATACACTGTGCAAAGATGCTGTGGAGAGCCCCACAGGGCTGACCTTCCCCAGCTGAGACAGAAGGAGGGGATACAATGACTCCAGAGTAATGCCCCAAGCTGACCAAGCCAACGAAAGGAAAGGCAACCAAGTCCAAACCCTGCTCTTTCACGGGCTCTAAGCAATCAGCATCCCACCCGCACATATTGAGGGAGTTGTGGCTTGTCACTGTGCCTGTGTGAGGCCTCGGAGTGAGTGGTGGTGGGGTCATTACAGAACAAGTGTGAGGCTCCAAAGTCATGAGACCTAAGCCACATCAGCAGAGCTAAGGTGCCAAAAGCAGAGAAGGTGCAGGGCCTGTTCCGAGTGAGCTGGCTAAGGTCAGGAGGAAAACTGCTTACAGCTGTTCCACAGCTGCAGAGCAGGCAGGATCCCGACAGTGTACAGCCTCAGCATACAGACCAGAGGAGACTGAAGGTCAGGGGACCCACAAGGAGGGCGGCTGGCCTGGGCTTCTATCGCTGGCCCCGTATGAGAAGAAGGACCAGAGGGGATTAAGTGTCAGATGGTGTCAAGTGGCAGACTCTGTGTCTGCTGTGGTCTGTGTGTACTGGGTTCTCTGGGCTCCATCTCTGGCCTGGGACCTGGTAGGTCTGTGACTACCCTCCTGCCCTGGCAGTGAGGACCTGAACAGAGCCTGGGATCCCCCTTCCTTCCTCCCTCTCCAATTGCTCTCAGAGGTCGGCCCTGCCTGCTGACCTCGCTGCTGCTTCCAGAAAGGAACAGTACCTCTTCCATGTCTGTGTGCGTGTGCACCAGGTATATATGCATGCTTGCACAGGCGTGCCTATAGATGTGTGTGCCTTTACGTGTGCATCTCTGTCCCTTGGGTCTCTCTGGGCTCTGTCCACATCCCTCCTCTTGCTGAGACTCAGGCAGGGCCAAAGAGCCTGTCACACTTGCTTGGACCCTCCTCTCCTGTGCACCAGCCTAGGGCTGGGAACAGTGACCCTGGGCCTCCCAGGACCCAGAAACCATCCCCTGCGCTGACCAGGAGGGGAAGTGGTCTCCAGCGCAGGACACCCGTATAACTGTTTCTCGGGTACCAGGCACTGTCCCAGGGCTGGGCTTGAAGGGACAATGGAGACTGGCTGGAAACAGAATGTTTAAAAAACAAAATAAAACAAATTTAAGCTTCCCCCCAAAAAAGAGGCGGGGCCGGGGAAGGTAGTGATGAAGTCAAAGGGCTGGGAGGCTAGTGGCTGTCCAAGAGCTCTGGGTCCCCAGGGGTCACAAGGTCTCTGTGGGCAGGACACAGTCCCTGCCCAGGCTGCACCCATCTGCCTTGTCTGGCTGTGCCCAGTGGGCACTTGAGCCAGGTCTGGCTGGCCGAAGGGAGGGCACCGTATGGCTGTCTGTAGAGTCTGAGCGGGTGGTGGGCTGGGGGGCCGGCTGGCTGCAGAGGCCTGTGGTCCCACCCTAGGCCCAGGCCCAAGCGTCCATGCGGCCCGGCTGGCTCTCAGGAGGCAAAGTAGGAGCTCTGCATGGAGTAGAGCCGGTCGATGGGGTTCCCCACGCGGGCCTGCAGGGAGCCCACGTCAGAAGAGCCGAGGAAGCAGTCGCTGAGGCTGGTGAGGGAGGTATCACTATCGATATCGTGGAAGATGGAGTCGTTCCCTGTGGGATGCGGAGGGGACGTCAGGAGCTGGGAGTGGGCCAGGGCTCTAGGCGGTCCTGGCAGCCCTGCAGGCTCCACGGCCAGGGGTTGTGGGCAGGCCAGCTGGCTCGGACTAGGCCCTTCCCGTCAGGGGGAGGCTTGCTGGCAGTGCTGGATGGACTGCCCTGGGCCCTGGGCCCTCGGCTCTGGGCAGCAAGGACTGTCATAGCCTCTGTCTGCCTGGCTAGGCATGGACAGAGGGCAGTGCTGGGCCAGATGGGGGTGGGGCAGCTTACCATAGGGGTTCATGTGGTCACCTGGCATTTGGGGCGGCGTGAGGCCCTGCTGGAAGGGGTCGCTGCTTCCGTAGGGGCTCTGCTCCATGGCCACGATCTGCTGCTGCGGAGGGGCCAGCGGCGTGTAGGAGGCCATCATGCCCTCCATGCGGCTTGACAGAACCTCTGAGGACAGTGAATGCCTTCACCAACTGGTCCTGTCCTACCCTGTCCTGGGAGTTGTGCAGATGCTCCCCTGGGCCCCTATGACTCCTCACTCAGATGCACCTTCTATCTTCTAGCCCCAGGTTTTCCTGTGCTCTGCCTCTCTGCTCCTGACATTTCTTCCCCCAAAGACTTCCCATTTACTCTCTCCCACCTGCTCCATCTGCACGAGCTGTGCTAGAGAGGTGGCAGGCTGGGCTGGCAGTAGCCATTTACCACAGTTCACCATGTAGGAGCTCTAAGATAGAACCCAAGTCAAGGAGGGCTTCCTGGCGGAGAAACCTTTATCCCATCAGGACCTAAAGAACCGGCAGGAAGGGTTATAACAGGCAGGGAGGGTCTGGTCTTCCAGGTGAGACTGGGAAGTCCAGCAACTGCCTCCAGACCATTGGGGAGTGAGGCAGTTAACAGGGACAAACAGTGGTAGGGTGTACAGGATTCCCTCTGGGCACTGTGGAGAAATGTCGGGAGCATGGCAGAGCGCAGAGGCTGTGTCTGTTTGGGGGAAGAGGAAATGGAGGAGATCCTAGGGACCTTGTCAAGGTCTCTGCAGGAAAGGCAAAACAGGTAAGGTACAACCACTCCCAAGATGGTGGCAGAACAGAGGGAAAGGTGAGGACCACAGGGGTCATGGGCAGTGCAGTAGCAGCAAAGGGGCTCTGGTGAGCAGGGAGGAGTCCTGATGGCATCTGGGAAGGAGCCAGGGACACCAGAGAACAAAGCACACTTTTCTCCAAGAACAAATACAGGCTGCCTGGTGACTGGAGACAGAAGACTGTGGCCCCAGGAGGGCCTTTAAGGGAAAACAAGAAATATGGGACTTTGGAACATTGTCAGTAGATCTCCAAGTCCAGGCTGGGATGCTGGCCTGGCTCCAATCCTAAGTGGCAGAGCTGCCTGTAGGTGCTGGCACCTTCCCAGGGGCCTCCTACTACCTCTACGTCAGTAGTCTCTGGAGCTCTCTGCACCCCCTCTCTTCATAACTTCAAAGTCTCCATGTCCCTGTGTAGCCTAGGAGACCTGCCCTGGTCCAAGATGTTGTTGCTGAAACAGATTTCTGAGTGAAGTTCAGCTTTGTGGGACCTGGCGTATGCTCAATGGACTGGCCCTTACTACTAGTGGCAGTCCCCAGGGGCTTCCCCACACCTCCCAGCTTCTCTGAGGTGCTTTCACAGAATGAGTGGGCAGCCAGTATATGTCACTGTGAACAGTGCGTGTTGGAGCCCTATATACATAGGGCAGCTTTGCCCTGTGGTAGTGCGGTGTCCCCAGAGGTAGTTTGAATGTCCCCAACCTTCAGTTTCCTCATGAGGCATGCCTGACTGCCCTGTCCTGGTGAAAGTTCATGAGCTGAGTGAGACAGGGTGGGTAGGAGGTCGGGGGCGGGGGGGCGGGGGAAGAGGCTGGCCACTTGGAGCCAAGCATCCAGCAGTGACTTTTCCAGCACACACCCTGACATCTCTTCCACTACAACCTCTGCTCCCCGAGTCCCAGAGGCTCACCTTGGCCCAGCCGCTGGGAGTTCTGCTGCTCCTGCTGTTGCTGGTGCCTCCGGGCCAGCTTCTTCATCTGCAGAGGGACAGTCCAGGCGCCGACTCAATCCCAGTCCAAATGCAAGGCTCTGCCTCCTCACCCCATCTCCACCCTTCCCTGTCTCTTGCCCATCCCCATCTCCCAGGGCTGCCCTGGAGCACTGGATTAGCCATGACCTCTCACCTTTGCTCTTTGGTTCTGAAACCAGACCTGGACCACACGCACACTGAGGCCTGTCTCTGCTGCCAGTGTCTCTCGGACCTGACCCGGAGAGAGGGAGACAAGTCAAGTCTGTGTAGATGGCAGTTGAAAGGTGGCAGTTGGGTTGAGGGGTGGGAGGAACATTCCTGCCCCTACCCTGGTGATAGCAGTGGGTCAGGGAGGAGGAATGGACCCACAATGAGCAAAAGAGTGGTGCTGGCCCCAGACCATCCCACTCGGAATTCCTCACCTTCCGACAGGGCTTGGAGGAGACCTCAAAAGAGGCCTTAAAAGCTCTTCTCTGCTGCGTGGTGAGGATGGTCCGGGGCCGTTTGGGCCTTCTCGGGTCCTTCCCGTCATCTCCGCTGCCCTTACTCTGGCTGCCCTGCCCCTTGGCTGGCTTCATGTCTCCATCTTCGTCCTCACTCTTCACTGTAGAAGACACGATCCAACCCATCAGTAGGAGCTTTGTATCTTTGGGTGAGAATTCCTTCACCCTCTGCTGATTCTGGTTCCCTAGTGACTTCAGGATAAAGTAGAACCTTCCCTGGGCCAAGAGATCCTTCTTTGCCATGTCCCATGACCCCAACATATACTCACTTCCTCATTCAGGGCCCCAGGCTGGTTTAACGCTGCCAACTTATAGGTCTCTCTATAGCATCCACAGGTGCAGGTGCACACACACACACACACATACACACACACACTCTCAGGTGCTCACATGCTCAGGGACCATGACTCAGTACCCAGGAGCATGTGCATGGCTGTGTACAAGGCTTGGGTTGAGGGGTGGGAGGGATACTTCTGCCCCCAGTGATAGCAGTAGATTGGAGAGGAGGAATGGACCCACAATAAGCAAGAGGCACACACTAGAGCGTGTGTATCATTCTGGGGCTCACACACAGGGCAGATCTGCCCTTGTGAGACTCTGAAGGCCAGCAGCCTCCTGCAACTATGGCCCAGGCTGGCCCTGGGCTTTCCTGAGTCATCTTTCTGCTGCTGGCCTCTGAGGGTTTATGTGTCATGCTAGCTGGGGACCAGGGGGAAAGAGAGGAGCGGCTGGAGTCTTCTTTCTTGAGGCCTCCAGGGATTGACAACTGGGAAAGACACAGGGACCAGGCATCCTCATAGGAGGTACTTAGGACCCGGACATGCAAGCATGTGCACACACCTGTATCTTGGTCTAAAGGCCCACATATATGTTACTTAGAGATATTGCAGGCTCACAGAGGCCTATATCCACAGGCAGGGACACTTCCATGCCAAGACACATGTGGCATGAAGAATCATGTGTGCACCTCCAGCAACACACACACCACTTCCATGGTCCCAGGGTTTTGGGCCTTAGAGACCTAGGTACATGGCCAAGCTTCCCAACAACCATGAGCTCTGACATTCCTCCCTGGAACTTGTCCCCTCCCTAGCCCCACTTTCTTTGGAGGTTAGCTCCATGGAGGACTGTCACCTTACAATGTCTGTAAGCTGGGCCAGTGGTCTTCCCTTCCATGGAAGTGCAGGTGGCCACAGGGAAGCTATCACAGTGTCTAACTCAGGGATGGCCAGCAGCAGATACACAAGGACTCTGTCACACCCAAACATTGGGGCCATGACAATTGCAGACACTCCCCATCTGGGCAGAAGACATGCCTATGGGTCTAGGGTACCTCCAAGGGCAGGCCAGCCATCTTGGTATGTTCCCTGCCCAAATCTTGGGAGTGACAAGGCCCCAGCCTTCAGGCTTTTGCTGGAAAGCAAACATGTGCATGGGTCGAGCATGTGTGAGTGTGTATAAAATCATGCATGTGTAGCCCATGAGTGTGCTGGTCAGGTGCAGAGGTAGGAAGAATAGACATGTATGTGTGTGTGTACATAGGGGGAGCTTTGCATGCTTGGGTGTGTAAGCACACGAGGTGGTGTCTTTATGGCACTGGGTATGTGTGTGGTACACAAATGTGTGTACTTCAGGGCTGGCACCCAGGGTGGTGATAGGGTGGATGTAACATTGGACATAGCACCTTGATGATGGCTGGATGTGCACGTGCAGGTCTGTGGACCTCAGAAGCCCCACTCCAGCATCCCACTCAGAAGCCCCACTCCAGCATCCCACTCAGAAGCCCCACTCCAGCACCCCACTCAGAAGCCCCACTCC